AAACACTACACATGCTCTCACAGCCGTAAAACCTAAATAATTTATTCAGATAAACCTTAAGAACTCTCTCAGGCACCACAACATATTAGTGGCAAGTGCCACAAGATGGTCTTTCATTACTTCAAAACAGTGTATGATTGACAATAAACTCAGAAATAAATATTATCAGGATTAAGAACTGCATTTAACTTGTATATAGTTTTGAAAAAAAAAATAAAAACACTCAAACCCCTTTGGACTGCTAAGAAACAATCTTTGACAACTGTCATAATTAAAAACATTACTGGCTGAAGTAACACAATTCAGCAGTGTATTTTCATTATAATTGTGCATCTTGAAGTCTTAGTATCCACTTCTGTGGAAGTATTAGTATCTTCCACAGACATTTGTGATGATACCACAGAACACAATAAAAACAGTGACTTGGTTTCAGTTCCTGTTTTCCTGGTAACAATATTAAATGATTTTTTAAATTTAGCTTTAATACAGGTATCCACTATTGGTTTTCAGAGATCTCATCACAGGATATTAACCTTCAGGGGAGTGGGATATGTTTTCCTCAGGATTCATGCTTTTTTGTTGGTTTATCAAAGTAAGGAGTGTTGTCTTGTAGCAGATCTTTCCTGGGTACGAGCACTGTAACAGAAAAAAATCCCTCTGAGAATATAATCTTATGGAAAATACTATTTAAAATTTGAAAGTTGTTTTTATATTTACAAACAAAAATCAGGTTACTACAATAAGAATCAGAACTTCTGGAAATGTATACCAAGCAGCATCATGGGATCTACCCAAGACAAAATTATATTGAGATTTCTACCTTCTGTTGGTCAGAATATTGCCTTCCCCTTTTTCTTTTTAGAGCACTGAAAATATTTTAATACCATTAAGAAACCATAAAAAATGATACAGTGTTGCAGTAGCTTTTAGTGAGAGAGGTAATGGCAGTTTTATCATGCCCAAGTCAGAATATGTGTGCTCCAACAGTTCCAGAAATGAATACTAAATTTGACTTAGCCCTCTCCCCCAGAGTCCTGGAATCTGATCTGTAATATTCACCTTGCCCTACCTGTTTTAGAGAACAACAGCAAAAGAAAGTACCAAATGAAAATTATGGCCACTGTGTCGTCACACAGGTGTGGTGTGTTAAGTTTTGCCTAATTATATGCCATTTTAACCTCTTCCTGAATCTTAAGTTCTTGCCTTCTAGCTCTTCAGAAATCAGCTTTCCTTCCTCAGGAAGGGGAGGAGGTGTGTCATGTCTGATTTGCTCCAGCAGCAAAAATTAAAACACGAACACCTGAAATCCTAATGTTGTAATTTGACTGTGTCAGATGGCTGTGAAAGGTACAGTAAACCTGTAAAACTCTGTGTGTTTGTGCGGATGTGTGTGCAATGAGTAACATTCTGATCAAAGTGCACTGATATCCCACACCTTCTAAGAAAGAAAACTGATTTCTTTAAAGGCATGCTCCTTGCGCATCTGTGTACTAATACTGATGCATTTGATAAGTTTCTAAGAGCTTTAAGTAAAATTTCAATTGCATTTCTTTTACATCTGAGTAGATTTATAACAAAACATGTCAACCTACACAACTAGAATAGGTACTCAAAACATAAATGCCAAAGAAAAACAGAACTGGATATAAAATACTGAAAAACAGAAGTCCAAAGAAAGACTGAAATAAGAATTTTTAACTTTCCTTTTCAAAGCTAAGTTTCAAACATACACTGGCAACACACCAAATCAAAATCACCAGGACATACTGCATGTGTGGTATATTACTAAATTGAAATCTCTTCTTGCATCACCCTAATCCAAAATGAAAATGAAATTCATAGAACAGAGGTACTTCTATACTACCAAGTAACTCACACTGAAACCTTTAAAAAAACAAAAGTAGTTATTTGACTAACAAGCTCCTAATTGAAATTGTCTTCTCTTTAGTAAGAAAACTTCAGCTGATTTTCTTTGTCAAAGATCTACCCCAACATAAGTCTACACTATTATGTCTCATATTCTTTTTAAGGAATATCATTGGCTTGTGCACTGCTTCTATGACACCACAGAATAATTTCATTTAATTAGGAAAAATGTTTGCCTTACTAGTATTTGCTCTAAGACAAGTCCTTGGCTTTTTATTTCTGGTTATTAGTTATTTTGGAGATGCACGATTGAAAAAAAAAGAAAAAAACAGTGGTAGCTAAATTGTATATTGTCAGCTATAATAAAAAATTTAGAGCCAAAAGATCGACAGTAACTCACTTAAGGAGTGAGTCACAATAGCTTTCTGAAACACTTTACCTAGTTTCTTTTTCCCCTGCTCCTTCATACAACATAGCAACTGATTCATCCCAAACCATTGTCCTCCCAAACCTGAAAAAAGCCTGAAGCAAGGAAGTTATACTAATTTAAATACAGCCCAAATGTAAGTACCTTACACTTTTTTCAAAATAGGCCACTAGATTTTCTACTACAGCAAAGTAAACCTTCACTTACAAAGTTTCCAAAACAAACACATAGCACCGGAGATGAAGAATAAGTAAACGTTCAACTGAGGTTGCTTATTTTTATTTGCCAACAAGCAGCAACTCAAGCAGCCACCTTAGGGTTGTACTTCTACTTTTTTTTTTTTTAAATAAATCTGTCCCAAGCCTTTCATATGGTGATGATAACATAAAAGCAATGATACCATAAAAGATGATACCATAAAAGCAGTGATGGAGCTAACTGTAACTACTGGCACTTTAAAAGTTACCACAGAGTATTAAGGATCAAGAAGGTTGATTTTTGTTCTGCTAAAACTTCCTTAATCAAAGCTGTACTGAAATTGAATACCTAAGCAGACTCATATACCTACACATGCATTTCCTACAACAAAATTCCCAACAGAAACTGGCTCCTAGGTGCTAAAAAGTAAAGGAAAATGAGAGGATCCACTTGATTATTTTCATTATATAAATGCACAGACATGTGGAAGGGACACAGCCAGGACAGCTGACTGCAGCTGACTGAAGGGATATTCCACACCATTTGACATCTTGCTCAGCAATATAAACTGGTATAAGAAAGATGGGGAGACATTTGCAGTGATGGCATTTGTCTTCCCAAGTCAGTCACCGTTACACATGATGGAGCTCTGCGTTCCTGGAGATGGCTGAACAATGCCCGCCCATGGAAAGAAGTGAGTGAATTCCTTGTTTTGCTCTGCTTGCCTGTGTGGCTTTTGCTTTACCTGTTAAACTGTTTTCATCTTAGCCCATGAGTTTTCTCACTTTTAGTCTCCCAATTCGCTCTCCAGTCCTGGCTGTGCAGGGCTTAGCTGCCAGCTGGGATTAACCCACGAAAACATTCAGCCATAGATTCAACTGGAAGTTGAAATCCCACTTCCAACTTTTTTCCTCTCTTTAATCTTAAAAACAACTCTTCTTTACAAACAAGAAAGGATGAAAAACAGTAAGGCAAGATATTCAGCAAAATGGAGTTGCGGTGGAAAGCACACCTATTTATTTTTTATTTTTTAGATACATATACGTAATATTAATTTAGTTACATATACAGAATATTATTTATTTTTTAGGTACAATTTCACACAGTAAACTGACCATGCTATTAACTATAAACTGCTATTAAAATATAGTGACAACTACCTCAACTCCCTAAAATTCTGAATTTCTGGAATTTTCTAATGGCATACTCTGTGCTACCAGTGACATTAATAAGAGCTATACCAGAATTGCTTAGTTCTTAGTGCTGTCTAATCACAGCTGAATTCTTAGGAAAGATGCAAAAACTATAGGAGGCTGCTCAAAGAGTAACACTTCAGAATAATGTTATGTTACTAAACAACTTACCATGGTGGAAAGGTCTGTATATTCCTTCTGTAAGGAGATTCTCTTTTACTCTTTTACTACAGTATCAAGCTAAGCATCAAATTTGATTTTCTGCTTTTTTCTGTATTTTTAGTACCTTGCTCCTGGCCACTAAGATTTCTCATTGCTGTGACATTTAAGAATTATTTATTATGTAAATAAAAAATGACTTTTTTTTCTTGCATTAGCTTTGCATGTAAATTTCAACTTCACTGAACGCTTTTTGCATTTTAATAATAACAGGACAAGTAAGAATCCGTTCTATCCATTTTTTATACTGTTCACTCTTATTCTATGAACTTCTATCATGATGCTCTGGATTTTTCTAAGGATTCCTGATCCTTTAATTGGTGATTCACTGTATTATCAAGACTAAGTATTTCTCACTTCAATATAAATTCCAAACACACACAAACCAGACATCTCTCAAATTGTGATGGCTGTTTCCAGAGCATTGTTATGCTCTTGCTGCAGTAAGATAAATTGCAGAGTGAGAAGCAAAGCTAAGACTTATTCAAAATGGACACAGAAAAAAAAAAAGGATGGGCAAAACACTGCATAATAACATCCTCTGCATTCGTAAGTAGGTCAAATGCACCCTTGTACAGATGCGCTCCAGATTTTTTGCTGCAGGACATTTTCCTGGCCAGTACTGCACTCTGAATGACCTCCTTCTTCCCCAAAAACCTCTTTGCCAGAAGTCTGTAAAATTAGGCAGGGGCAATTCTATCCTTTTTTGTTTATGGGTATTTAAAAGGAGACAACATTAAAACTCTGTTACAGTCAAAACAGACAATCAGCAATACTCTGCGCCTTTGTCTGCTGAGTCAAGTAATTTCACTGTAAAAGGGTATCAGGCTGGTCAGAGAAGATCTCACCTTTGTAAATCCTTGCTGACTACTCCCCGTTCCCATTCTGTTCTTAGAACATTTGGAAACAGCTTCCAGCTATTTCTTAAGGACCTTTCCAGAGATCGAGGTGAGGCTGACCAGTTTCCTAGATCCTCCCTCTCGACTTTCTTGAAAAGAAGGGAGACATTTGCTCTCTTCCAGACCTCAGGCAACTCCCCTAATCACCATGACATTTCAAAGATGGCTTGAGAGTGGCCTTGCACTGTGTCACGTCAGGTCCCATGAATTTGTCTATGCCCTCTGTGTTCAAATATTCCTTGCCTTTTCCTCATCTACCAAAAGTAAGTCATTCTTGCTCCAGTGGTCTCAGGCCCATGATTTGTGAAGGCAAACCTTTGCAGTAAAGGTTGAGGTGAAAGTAGGAGCACCTCAGACTCTTCTGTGTCCCTCGTTACCAGTTTCCCTGACCTATTCAGCTGTGGGCTCACATTTTCCCTCCTCTCCCTTCTGATGCCGACATACCTATAGAAGTTGTTCTTGCTGTCATTCACCTTCCTTGCCCAGATCAGCTCTAGGTGGGCTCTGGCTGGGCTCCTAACCCCATCCCTACACACTGACAAAAAGATAAATTAATATTTGAACACAAATTCATGTGACTTTTGCCAAGGAAGTTATGCCTCACAGTTCTTGATGGTGTTATTTGAACAGCTCTTGAGGGGTTGCCCAGGAGCTGCCCAACATGCTTGGATTCCCCAAGTCCCTCCGGGCATGTTTCTAAGAAAGCAACAGCCTTACTGTCACAAAGTCTTGCAAGTCACTGTTTAAACTGGAGGAGGTGAACAATAAATGAACAGGTCTCCCAAAGGAGGGATGTCAAAAGTGGAGTTCTACAGGTACTTTTTGTCATCTGTGCTGTTCAAGGTATTTGTAAGTAACCTGGAAAAGGATGTTTTCTAATGATACTATCCTGAGTAAGTTCTTTAACAAAATGGCTTACTGTGAAGAACTGCAGGATAAGAGTTAGACTTAACAACATAACCAATAAAATGACAGACAAAATTACATGTAGAGACATGTAATGCATACAAGTGAAAAAAAAAAAATCACCAACAAACCAACAAACCTAATTTTACAAAGAAAGTGACAAATTCAAAAATTAACTATAACCATTCAGATGAGTTTAGCGAATACAGGATTAATTTTGTAAAAATAAATAAATGTATGTATGCACAGCAGCCAAAAATCAAATTTAGAATTAGGAATGACTAGGAAACCAGTGGAGAATGAAACAGAAAACATCACTGTGCCATAAGTGTGTATATAAATGCCTGGTTTGCCCAGAGCTTGATGACGGTGCTCAGCTCTGATTGAGAGAGCAAGCTCCTAATCATCTTAAGGGAGGTACAGCAGAATTGAAAAGGGTGCAGAGAACAGCAACAGAATGATCACAGGCATTCACTTGTTCCAGAGACGCTGTTCCATGGGGGGGGGGGTAAAAAAAACAAAAAGGGGGCAATAAGGGGCTTAAAAACTCATGCTTGCTGAAAACGGATAGCAATTAAAGAGTAGGGTCAAATTCAAAACTACAGCAAGTGACTTCATAAAAAAAAAGTGTAAATTCTTTGTGAAAGGTTCTTGGATGCAAGAAATTTGCACAGGTTGACAGAAGAAAGTTCACGAGAGAAACCCACTAAGGACAACTAGAACAGAAACCATTCCTGATGCATGAAGTGCTTCCATGTGTAAACAGCTGAAAGATGTAAAATTTCACTTGCTCTGTTCCTCTCTTCTGCTGTCATCTGCCTAGGATCACTGTGGAAGACTCGACACTGGTCTAGCTAGATGAATCTTTAGTCTCGATCATAATGGCTGTTCTAAAGTTAAGTGCTTTATCAAATCTAAAACTGAAACAGTCACAGAGCTTTACAGACACCACTGAACAGAAGTGACATGAAAACAATGTACACAGATGAAGATTTCTTCTATCCTCTACCACACAGTTGTATACTGAACTTACTGCTTCTCTTATGTTTGACTCTTAAGATAAAATAACTTCTAAACCAGGAATTGTAATTTCAGAATTTGAATTGTCAGAACAAGGTTTTGGAAAAGAACATTCAACCCTCAAAAAAGCCCCCATGCTGTTCTATGGACAGTGTACATACTGCACTGGCTGATTTTCCTCAAAGAGCTTCTACCTGTTTGATAAAGCAAGCACCTACAGATACTGTGGGCACTACATCTAGATATACACTGACTGACTAGCCAGTACATGCATGCTGACCAGCTACATAACTGCTGTCACTCTTAATAGTTAAGGTGCCAAGTTAGAACTTCTTTCTCTCAATGAGGGCACTAAACGTAGTCACTGCCTCTTTCCTAGCAGCCTCTGTATCAAAATATTTGTGTAGAAACTCTGTGCCTTTGAAACCTCCACCAGGTAGAGACATTAGTCAACAGGCTTAAATTAATGGTTTGGGCAGAGAAATGACAGACAGACAGGCTTTTGCCCTCCCTATCCCTTCACTTAGTTTTCAAGTTCTCTATTTATTTGCTGAACTACAATGTTTTCAAACAACTTTTTAGCACACAGCTTTACTCACCTATTCTGTTGGAATCCGTGTGAACAGCCTGAATAACAGAAGTTCGAAGAATCACTTCAACATCTGAAGCTATTTTCAGAAGCTAGTAAAAGGGAAAAACAAAACAACAAACAATACAGAGTAATTTAACTGATATGTAATTATTTCTGAAAATGTTTTCCATACTAGACAGCTATTCATACAACAAAGCCAGTCAATTATATTATTCAGTTAGTTATGCACTACCTATACACAGCTTTTACTTTGGGGATCCTAGAATAACTTATAAGTTGATATATAAGCTACCCTGACATACAGCACGAGAGAGGAAGAATGCTTCTGCTCTGTAACATACAGCAGTGTAAATTCTATTTACCAAATTAAAACTGCAAATGAATAAGGTAGAATGCAAGTACCAAAGAAAGTAACTAGTTTCCAGGGATCAAAGACATCAGTGAATGCCTCTGTAACACCTGACCAACCCTAGTAAAAGTGCAATCTACTTCTATTAACATTCCAGCTATTGAAATAAGGGCAAATTAGGGCAAAACATGACAGGAATTAAGAATATTGGGTTTTGCAGAGAAGTAGCATGGGAACAAGACATTACCTAAAGATTAGCAGTGGCATTTCCAACCCTAACTATTCTATGATTCTATTTGGCAAAAGACCTAAAGTTCTTTCCCTCATTAAGAAGATAAGCAGTAGCACCTTAGCGAGTTTTTTTTTGAATGATTAAGAGAAGTCTAATATTTGTTTGTGTGATACCTGCATCAGTAAAAACTGAAATTGCACGAGTGAGACATTCTGGGAGACACAGTTACACTAGGAAGTGGCATATATCAACAGAAACGGATCTTTGCAAAGGTTAGAGCTCATGACTGGACACCTAAACTGAGTTTCTCCACTCCACCTACCCCTTTTAAGAGTTTGGACTAGATAGCCTCCAGTTGCCCCTACTGAATATCCATCAGTAGTTAGGCTGTATGCTCTTGATTTTCCTGATTTCACTTCAGATTCACCTTAGAGGAATTCTGCCATTTCCTCTAAGACTGCTTCACAACACAAGCCAAATGCCAGGAAGTAACTTCAGAGGCGCCCTCCTGATCTGAATTAAACTGCTGCAGTCGGATCAGCTGCTACACCTCACATTTCAACAATACCGCAGACCAGTTACTCCTACCTCCTTAGGTCTACATACCTATTTGATGTCATATTAGACAGTGCCGCTTTCTGTTCTGGCAAACGAATGCATATTTGGTTGGTCAACATCCATTTTTTAGCTGCTGTCCAAAGCAGAATACTAACATCCCTGTTTTAATGCAAGCAAGCACCGAAATTCTCACAAATCTAGTCTATTATTCAATTTTGTTCTTCTGCATCAGAGTCTATCTATTATATAAAGCTTCTATGATGTTCTAGAATTCTGTAGCTGTGATGGAAGTCCAGAAGTTCTTCCACTTGCACATTTAATCAAGATACCAGTTAACTCATATTAAAAAGTTACAAATGTGTATTTTGTTGGTTGCCATTCCTAACAAATATAGATCTAAAAACTACAGCAAGCACTTTTCCTGTAGACTTGTAACAAAAAGAACATACAATTTAACAGATCAGACACTGGGAACCCAAACACAAAAGTATCACTATAGGGGCCTGATGAGAAGCAGAAATGCTAAAAGAGCTAACTAAATGCTCAGAACTATTTATGTTACTGCCCAGTGGCTCGTATGAGGCAAACATTTAGATTTACTTTTGCAAAGGACAGATGGAGGCACTTTCTTCCAACTAGTGCCCAATGACAATGTAAATACAGTCTATTAAAAGGCTGAATGTCAAGGACTAAATTAATAACTGTGAATGGATGTTAAGAACTAAAATTATCTAAAAGACAGAAATTTCAATTCAGGCGTCAGTAAGTTTCAGGAAAAGTGACTCAATAAAAAGTGCTAAGATCGTAATGGTGCAAAGAGAACTTACCTAGTGAGTTAACAGAACATTCTACTCCTTCTAATGTACCATGAGGAAAAAGCAACAAAAAAGCCCAATACCTCTCTATTACAATAGTCACAATCACTTGGTTGGTTTTTTGCCTCCCATGAAAGATGCCGCCTCATTTGTGATCAGGGGTCAAAATAATTTCTCATGCCTGCCAGTAACTGAGCAGATTATTAAATTTCTATCTTCCTGTGATTCCCTATACAACAAAGACTAGGTAAACTTAAGTGACCTTAACTGGCTCAGACAGATATTATGAGCAAAGTATACAAAATAGTAATGTGAAAATACATAAAACTTTTTTTTTCCTTAATTATAAGCATACTGAAATACCAGAAGACACTTTCTCATGCTGTGCTTTTGTATGTACAAAACTCTGCAACATACTATTAATATAAATGGAGGTATCAATAAATTTCTAAACAAAGAGCCACGTAAAAGCCTTTTTTGAACTCACCTGGCTCTCACAATGTCTCAAGAAGTACTTACACTGGTTTAGAGATCATGTAAGTATTCTTAAGCAAAGTGGAAAAAATCAATGAAACCAAGAAGTACCTCATTTATCTTCTCTTCAGATGTCTCATCTTGGTGATTTTTGAATTCTTCATTAATCTTTTGTCTTGCAGCTAAATAAAGTAAACAAACAAACAAACAAACAAACAAGAGTGAACAAAAACTGTATCTTGTCTTAGTCACTACCTCAAAACTCACAATCCTAAATCCTTTATAGCACTTTCTGGGTGCACGCTGCCTGAATATTTTAAAATAAGTTTTCCACAGAATTCAGGTGATGTTATGTTTTAAGTTGACTGGTATAGGAATAAAATATGATTGCCTATCTAGCATTCTGAGCTTTAAAAACAGGAGACACTACTAAAAGCTGGTTTATTAAAAAAGCAGTATTTATCCCCTGAGGAGCAACCATACAGAAAGAGAATCAACTCAAATGCTTAGTACAGTTAAACATGCTTTGGCTGGACTCAAGAGAGGAATGTGAAAAAAAAAGACAAACAAAAAAAACCCCAGGTAAAATAAAAAGCCCAGGAAGATCACCAAGGTTCCAAAAAAGAGATTGTTTCCTTATGAAATGTGGCATGAGTGCCTGAATCCAACAACTGTTTTTTTGTTTAAAATTAAAGGGTATCTAGGTATGGGCATACAAGTTTTCCCCATGATTAATTATAAAATATGAAAGGTATAACTTAAAGGAAGATTATGTTAAGAATTCTTTTCCTGTGAATTCAGAGAAGAAAGTTCCATGGAACGATAGGTAAGTGTGCACCACATGAAAAAGTTACTCACCTTCAAGGGCTCTGGTATCATTTTTAAAAACTTCTTGCCGGGTTCTGTGTAATGATTTAAAAAGTTTCAACACCTGTCAATACAACATCAATAGAATTAGCTTGTTTCCTAGCAGGATTCTTAGTTAAAATGAACATGTTGCAATTAAGGTGGTCTGGTTGACCACAGAGTCACAGAATGGTTTGGGCTGGAAGAATCCTTAAAGATCATCTAGTTCCAACCAATCTTTCATGTTCTTTCCATTTAGTACAGAATTAGATATGGAATTGGTATCCAAGATACTACTCCTCAATCTCTGATTAAATAACTTGTATCCAAAGCAGACATGAGGAAATACCCTAGACAGTTCTAGATGTTTCAAATTAAGCTAAGATGATAGAGTATTAGCACCACTCCTAAATAATCATTTGCCATTACACAAATATAATCCTGCAAACACATTGACGCAAACATATTTATTGCGCCAATATCAAATAAACCCAACAGAAATCGGAGTAACTGTAAATGTCAAATAACCCAATTACAAAATATAAAAGCACAAATGCCTGAACTATTTTCACATTTACAAGCCAACATGAGAGAAGTACATTTCAAAAGGATCTAAAACCGTCTTTATAGAGACTTATGTCTCTCTATAACACCTGGGCATAATCTTCCACAGGTAATGTGGCAAAACCAAAACAAAGCAAAGTCCCTAAATGTAAACTGCCAGATAAGCAAATAAAAATTTCAGTAAAAGCAAACATTAAAAAAAAAAACCCTAGGATTTACAATGTAAAACTTACATGCATCAGTATTTACATAAAGCAAAAGCCCCAAAAATCACAGCTCGTGGTTTTGGATGTTTATTCATTAGACTGTAATGAATTACAGAAATCCTCAAGTCCTTAACAGATTATTTTTGGAGTTTGCCAGAGACTGACAGGAATCCCTAACAAGCACCATAAAAAATAAAAAATTACTGATAACAAGGTACCTTTTGAAGTGCGTTTTGGCATATCTAGAAAGCACAATTCATTATAACCTTACATTGTTTTCTCACAATTAATATGCCAAAAATTTCTTAGAAGCATGCAGAGGAAACATAGAGCTGTAACTGAGAAATGCCACCTTCTTTGTCAGCATGCTGTCAGTTGGAAATACAAACAAGACTGTCCTCTAAAAGGCCAGTAACAACATCCTGGCAGGGCCGTGAAAAGTGCTGCCTCTGCTTTAAATCTAGCAATGACAGAAACAGCAAGCTTCCCTGAAAGCTATTTCTCCCAACAGATATAAGCACATATTTTAGGTTTTCAAGCTAAGTTCTCACCCTCTGCTCAGCTGGTCACTTGGCCACACCTTGAAATAATTCATCCAGAAGTGTACACGCACAGAAAGTGAGTTTTTAGGAAGAAGATGAAGGCACGAGAATAGGAAACTTTCCAGTTCAGTACTGCTTCTTTAACATAATGCTACCACAGTCTCAGTAAGGGACAACTTACAAACATGAACAAACTCCAACCTTGCTTCACCACATAGATTAGACCATGTCATAATATCTACTACAATTTATGATTTAGCATTGTGTTCAGTATATGCTACTGCATTACAGATCTTTCAGTGCATTCTCAATTGAGTTAAGGGTCTCATGAATGTTCAAGTGAAAAACTTTTGCCACTTCTAGAAGAATTAGTATGTAACTTGACAAGCAGTTAAATGAAGCTGAGGAGAGACATATGGAAGAGAACACAGAATCTGCTACCTCCTTTTCAGCTTGTGTCCTTGATAATTAGCAACTGAAGAGAATCGTGCTACCTCCTACTACAGCATTTCCTAAGTGGCTGAATCTGTAGTAAGACAACAGAATTAAAAGTCAGCAAACAATTTTCTTATTCTGTATATATATTTTAAGAGATTTAACTAAATTATTTGGACAGGATTTCTAACCCAGAATATTTTTGCCATCTTTATGAACTGTAAAGTTACTATCACAAATGGTTTTGAGTGCATGGTGAAACGTGAAGAAGTGGTTTATGGTTACTCTAAACCCTGATCAACTATTTTCAGGCATCTTCCTCTGCTATTTGCCTGTTTCTGCAAACCCCTCATATAAAGTTCTTCACCATACCAACCACAGAGATACATACATAAGATGACTTTGAAGCATTATGTACTAATGTACTAATACTTTGAGGTCTACAGTCACCTAATGAAACACAGAACTTCCATAATACCTCAGTGTATTAGTCCTCCCAATACTAGGCTTCAGAACACGTCTGAAACAGGGGCTCAAGTGCCCCCAGAAGTACTCTAAGGTTGAAAGGTTCAAATAATTCTGGTCTGCTTTTCTTCATTTTCCCTTCAGAATTTCATTCTCCTGACATATTTTAACCTCTACTTGATTGTCATCTCTCAACTTGTTTCCTTTTTCTACATCATCTTTCGCATACAAACCCCTTCTTTCTATTACCTAATCCTATGGCTTTCTTGCCCGGAAAGCCTCAGCTTTCTGAGGCTATAAATGCCAGGGGGAAAGTATTCCTACCCTCCGATGACATATTCTCTATATACGTAACCTGCGCATAGTCACTATTTACAGCCGAAGGCCGCAGATTTGCGGGGAACACCGCACGCCTCCCTGGAACAGCGGCACTACCACCAGCTCCAGGCACCGCACGAAGGACAAACCCCCGCGATGGAGCCGGCTCTCGAGGGCAAGACCAGCGACTCTTCAGGGCACGAGTGACCCCAGCCTCACGCAGGGCGCCGGACAAACGGGCAAGAACAAAGTCGGCACCGCGAGCGCTTTAAGGAGGCAACGGAGGAGAAGGAGAGAAGTGGGAGGCAGGGAGCGAGCAGCCTGTACCACCACACCGGAGCAGGCCCTCCTCGTCCTTTTCCCATTGGCCCCGGCTCCACTTCCTTCGTGGCGATCCCCGAGCACCAGGAGCCGCGGGCAGGACGGGGCAGCACCGGGAGCCGCGGGCAGGACGGGGCAGCACCGGGAGCCGCGGGCAGGACGGGGCAGCACCGGGAGCCGCGGGCAGGACGGGGCAGCACCGGGAGCCGCGGGCAGGACGGGGCAGCACCGGCAGTGAACGGCGACCCCCGGACGAAGCCCCTGGCCGCGCATGCGCGCCGCGCTCACCTGCCGCCTGCTAGCCATGGCGACCGCCGTCCTGTTCCGGTCCGGACGAGCAGGGGAGAGGTGGGAGCGGAAGTGACGACCAAACAGGTGGCGGGTCCGCGCGTAGGGAGTGGCGGTCGTCATCGCTATGTTCCGGGTCGCTGATGCAACCAACGCCAGCCCCGGCTGCCGGAGCACTGCTGCTGATCTCCGGAGGGGTCCCAAGGCAGCAGGCAGCCTGCCCGCAGGCACCTTTTCCGGCATGGGCTGCCGGCACAAGGTATTACACCTGCTTTTTCCGAGGAAGCATCTCAGTTTCAAACCAGAAAGGTGTCAGTGTGTGGCCAGCACGTGGTTTAACACTTCATGGTATTTCCTAGAAGCTCTTGGTTGCATTTAAACTCTTAATTCCCATCTGCCCTCCTATACCTCCCACCTCTTTTTTCTCTAATGGTGATACTGATGTGAAGGGTTAACCGATGCAAGGAAGTTAGGGTTAAGGAATGATTTATTAGGGGCTGCAGCTGCTTAACATTGTGCTTGCCAAAGCAGCATGGGAGGATGCAAGGCTATTGATAAAGAGGAAGGAACCTTAAGTTGGTTCCTGCTCTCTGGACCCCTAAACGGGCTGAAACCAGCTTTGCGGTTTGGACGGTGACCAACCAACCAGGGAGCATACACAGCGACTACAGGTGAAAAGTTCAGGCCTGAGAAAGACTCGTTTACTTCATCTTGAGACCCTTGCCTATGACCACCAGGAGGCACTGCGCAAGCACAAAGGACCTTTCAGCTCATTATAATACAAAGCAGGGATAGGACATGAATATGTATAGGTATATTGTGTAACCTAATGCATATGGAGTATTTTAGAGGATAAACATAGAGGAGAACAATGCTGGGATGTGCATGCCTTTGGAGGAGCAATCCCCCATGCGCCTCAGCACTGAATAAAGCATACCTACTTCACAACTTTAACGAGCTGTGGAGTCTATCCGCATATCAAAACCATTACCCTGTTTTTATGCCTACTGAAGTTGGTAGATAGGAATCCAGCCTAAACTTTGGGTAAAATCAGACATGCTTCTTCAGGTGACCTAAAGAGGAGTTGCAGGTTTTGACACTAGAATTGCCTTTGATGGTAGGTGCTAGGGTCCACCCAGACTCACTGGCTCCTCACTTAAGGCAGTGCCTTAGCGGTCTGCCCAACCTGTGGCCCAGGGCGCCATGTAAGCCTCCCAGGGCCTGCAATACTGCAGCAGGGCTGATCTCCAGCCCTGCCACTGCCTGAAGGGTGACCTGGCCCACGGGTGCACAGAGGTCACAACCATGGGTTTGCAGGAGTCTGTAAAACACAAGGATGTGAGGGTTTCTTCATCTAAATTTCTCTATTACAGTTTACCACAAAATAATCACTGCTAGCAACTGTGCTACCAGAAAAATCACCAGTAGTACCTATGATTAATAATGCAAATATATATGTATCTCAAGCTATTATGCATCACTATCAGCAGCTGGTAATAGCAGTAGTCAGTCATGTAGCAACATTCAACAACTTGGAGTGAGAGCAAGTTTTGTCTAAAGATTTTAATGCAGGCGTTCATATATGTTTACTTTTACTTTATGACAAAGCTTGAGGGGAAATCAGATTGAATCTATTTTAACTATAAAGTTCAGAAAATGAAGCTTCATTGTTACTTCACTATTACTTGTTACTTTACTGTTACAATGTTAGTTCTCCCCCCCGCTTTTTCATTTTGATCTATATATTTCATTTTGCGTATATATATAAAAAAAATATTTACGAATACATGTCATGATATGTTGTCCTCAGTGGATTAAGCCTGGTCATATTAACTGGTTTGTTTTATAGTGAGGAAATGGCTCATGTGTAGAAGGGATGACTCATCAAACTGCCCATGATCTCCCCTCTGCAAGAGCCATTCTGATACTAGCAGCGCATAACACCTAGCTCAGCCCATCCCCGATCTTGATGGGCCCCTCCAGCTCTGAAAGGCCTTGAATCATAGAATCAATTAGGTTGGAAAAGACCTCTAAGATCATCAAGTCCATCTGTTACCCCAGGAGTGCCAAGTTCATCACTAAACCATGTCACTGGGGGCCTCATCTACACATTTTTGAACACTTCCAGGTTTCCACCACTGCCCTGGGCAGCCTGTTCCAATGCCTGATCACCTTCTCTGCGCAGATTTTTTTTTTAAGATCCAGTCTAAACCTTCCCTGGTGTAGCTGGAGGCCATTGCCTCTTGTCCTATTACTTGTTACCTGGGAAAAGAAACTGACGCCCACCTCACTACAACCTCTTTCAGGTAATTGTAGATAGCGGAAGGGTCGTGTCGTCCCCCCCCCCCCCCCCCCCGAGCCTTCTCCAGACTAAACAACCCCAGTTCCCTCAGTCGTTTCTCATAAAACTTGTGCTCCAGGCCCTTCAGCAGCTTCGTTGCCCTTCTCTAGACCTGCTTCAGCAGCTTTTAGTTTCTTGTAGTGAGGAGCCCAGAACTGAGCACAGGATTCAAGGTGCAGCCTCACTAGTGCTGAGTACAGGGGGATGATCACTGCCCTTGCCCTGCTGCCACGCTATTTCTGATACAGGCCAGGATGCCATTGGACTTGTTGGCTGCGTGGGCACACGCTGGCTCATGTTCAGCCATTAATCAGCACCCCCAGGTCCTTTTCTGCCAAGCAGCTTTCCAGCCACTCTTCCCCAGGCTGCAGCTTTGCATGGGGTGGTTGTGGCCCAAGTGCAGGACCTGGCAGTTTGCCTTGTTGAACCTCATACCATTGGCCACAGCCCATCAATGCAGTCTGTACAGATCCCTCTGCAGAGCCTCCGCATCCTCCAGCAGATCAACACTCCCACCCAACTTGGTGTCATCTCCAAATTTACTGATCTCCTCCTACCAACTCTTGACACTGACATTGGTAAATTGTGACACCATTTACCACCACTCTTCGGGCTCTGCTGTCCAGCCAGTCTCTAACCCGGTGAAGACTCCACCTATCCAGGCCATGAGCAGCCATGAGACACTAATGTGATTTGTTCACCTTCTCCTCTTTTCCAGAATCATACAGCTCTCAGCTGTCAAGGCGTCAGGGTCGCCAGGATTCACTAGATTCAGAGCAGCTTCTGTTTGTCCTTCAAACTTCCATGGAAAACTTAAGGCATCCCTGACAGCAACAGTCACTTGGCTGCAGGACACAGTCCGATAACTCACTCCGGTATTGGGCTGGATTTGATGTGGCAATAAACAACATTTCGGGCTGATATAGCCTCCCCTGGAACCCCACTGCGTGAAAACGCTTCCGCGCACCGACTTGTCGGCACCCCTCCCGCTTATGATCCCTCCGCAGACTCACTCTCAGACGTCCCCGAATCCCTCCGTGCCTCCCGAGCCCTACCACTCCAGGCCAGCGAGGGCGGCAAAGACAGGTGAAGCTACCAATCACGGTGGGCAGGGCCGGCCGGCGCCGAGTTGTCGACCCAATGAGCGCTTCGGGGGGCGTTGCCACCGAAGGAAGTACGGCGCGGCGTGGTGGGAGGTGTGTGGGGGCGGCCGCCATGGCTGACGAGATCAGCAAGGCGCAGGTTGCTCGGCCCGGTGGTGATACCATCTTCGGGAAGATCATCCGCAAGGAGATCCCCGCCAATATCATCTATGAGGACGAGCAGGTGCGGGTGGGCCGCGGCCGCCAGGCACACCGGGTGCCGATGAGGAGGAAGGCAGCGGCGCGGGCGGGCGGGACGGACGGGACCTCTCGGCGCCCTTTTCGCAGTGCCCCGAAGCATCGGGCTCTTTCGATGCGCGGCTCGGCCGGGCGTGCTGCAGGCCCCAGCCCGCTGAGTCAGCGGCCTCTGTGCGGAGAGCTGGCCGCAAGTTCTCGCCCGCAGCTTTACGGCATTGCCGGCCGCGCAGGCTTCACTGCCAAGGGACCGGGCTTCTCTCACATGGTGTGGGAAGGTAGTGGTGCGACCCTGGATTAACCACCCGCCGGCAGTCTCTGTGTGGATTCTGGGCCTGTCTCCAAGCAGTGCGCTGTAGCCAGTCGCTTTCGCAAGTCAGAGGCACAGGTCTTGATGTGCACCTTTCAATAGCGGTGTGGAGATTATACAGCTCTGCCTGCCACGCCTTGGTTATGAGTACCCAAGAGGGGTTATTAAGGGAAAAAATTAGAGACAATTACGGCTTTTTTGCTGTTCACAAAAGCTTGGGAATGGTCATCCTACAGGCTGCAAAAAGTGGGTCTTTGTGGTGAGGTGGCACTGGTAACATTCATTCAGTGATGCTGGAGTGATTCAGCGTGCTAAGTGAAGTAATCTTACTAGTTTATGAAAAAGTGTAGCTGTTATCTGCAAGACAAACTACTGTAGTATCCAGTGTAGCCCCCTCCCCCCCCTTAAAATACTGAACATTAGATGGGCTTTTTTGAAGTAAAGGATTAACTGCAGTCTGGAGTACAGACTAAAGGTGCTGTTTGTCTGATTTGTGTGCTGAAAAATTATGCTTAGCTTGGAACAGCGCTTTCTTAATAGATACAGAAAAGTTGCAGCTACAATCTACTTTCAAGAATATTGGAAAATTTCACTGATTTTCTATCATGCTTGTTATGGGTCAAAACTGCATGAGGATTATTCTCAGCTCTAATGGGTATAGCAGTGTAACCTGAGTGCTGTGCTTGATTGAGAATCAGGCCATTGATTGATTTGAGAGCATATAACCTGCTCTTCACTGCCATTAGTGCAGAATATTTTTTGAAAGAGTAATTATTTGCAGTATCTCAATTGCTTTTTACCTTAAACTACACAGAAATGTGGAACTTCTTTTAATAATGTCTGATCTTTGATTTGTCTTGTTGGCTTTATGAAAATCTACTTGGAGATGGCTGGAAGTGTTACAAGGAGAAATATAAGAAAGACTTTTAATCATTAATTGACATGCAGAGAAAAGGAGATATTAAAAAGTACAAAGTCTCTGTGGAAGTATGCCATATCACTATTGTTTTAATTGAAACTAAACTTTCTGAAACAAAGGTTGATTCACTGTGCACTCACAGAGTTTCTCTGATTGTGCTTTTGTTCAGTACTAATCATGCTGTTTGTCCCATGAAGGAAAATTATTTGCTACCAGTCTTCTGCTCATTAAATTCTTCAACTCAGTTTAGCCATTTGCATTCTGACACATTATGTGGACCACATAGAATAGAAAAGCTGCTTACAAAACGGTCAGCTGAAAGTAAGATTTAATTAGTTGCAAGTTAGTTTTATTCATTCATTCTTTGCTAGCCACCCTTTGCTGTATGGGAGAAACAAGCAGTTTATCAGAGATTTTAAACTTTTTGAATTATCTTATTAAAGATAGCTTAAAATAGGACAGATGGGAGTTAAACAAGGTAAGGCATCGTTAATGTAAGTAAAGTTTGGCCTATACATCACCTTTACTCTTGGCAGAGGTGACAGCTCTTCTCAGTAGGACTAAAAAACGGTATAGTAGCATAGAAAATTATTGATTCACAACTAACTGAAAGCATCTAGGAAATGGATATTGTGAAGAATGTGAGGTATGCCCTGGGGAGGCCTTAGAGCAGCCTTCCAGTATCTAAGAAGGGGCTACAAGGAATCTGGAGAGGGACTTTTTTCAAGGACATGTAATGATAGGGCAGGGGGCTTTAAACTGAAAAAGGGTAGATGTAGGTTAGAAATCAGTAAGAAATTCTTTACTGTGATGGTGGTGAGACACTGGCATGAGTTGCCCAGAGAGTCTGTGGCTGCCCCATTCCTGGCGCAGTATTCAAGGCCAGGCTGGATGGGGCTTTGAGCAACCTGGTCTAGTGGTAATGTGTCCCTGCCTGTGGCAGGGGGGTTGGTACTGGATGATCTTTAAGGTCCTGTCCAACTCAAACCTTGCTCATACTGTGATTGCTTTTCTGAAATACTTGATGGTGTTGTGAACAGAAATGTATCTGACCTCAAATCACATACTTTCAGGTTCTTTGAAATTGTTTTGTTATCTTTGACCAAGGCAATATTCAGAGATAACTGGAAGATGATTAGCAGGTATTTGCCATTTGTTTTATTAAATAGGGTGTTAATAAAGATGAAATAAGCATAAATGTACTTTTTATAGGCATGCATGCACCAGCTCTGTTTTTACTCATGTGAAAATAATAAAAAATACTTAATACAGAATGATAATTCTTTTCGTACCCATAGGTTTTGGTAAGTAGATGATTTGTGTTTAGAAGTTTGAGGACTTTGAATAATGTACCACCCAAGAAAAATCAATATCTCTGCTTTATGTTTGGGGTATCCGATAATCTGCTGAACTATTCCTTTGGTGGGGTATATTGATTTACTTAAACTCTTGGCTTTCTCTGAATTAAATTATGTTTTAACTGTTTGTTCTTCCTCCAGTGCCTTGCGTTCCATGATATTTCACCCCAAGCTCCAACACATTTCCTAGTGATTCCTAAGAAGCCTATTGTCAGGTTATCTGAAGCAGAAGATTCTGATGAATCTGTGAGTACTCTTGAAGCTTTCTGTACACCAAATGGTACCTGTAATTACTTCATAATTTACCAGACTATTCCCCTTTTGCTCTTGACATTTTAAAGGGGGTGGAGTTTTCTGATAGTATAATACTTTTCCTCTAGCTTAGAATGGGAATGCAGTTAAGGTTTTCCAGTAAAAGTAGTGATACACAGAAAAATGTATCCCTGGGTACATGTTTGCAGTGCAAAACACATTGTTATTTTGGAGTACAGCCTTGATATCTATTTTCATGGCTTATTGGCAGTACTGCATATTCGAATAGGGTCTTGGGGTTTTTGGCAGGTCAGAGAAGAAGAATGGTAAAATTAGCTGAGAGGTGCTGAATATTTAATTTGTAACTATAAACATAAAGTTCAAAGATTTTTGTAGTCCTTTACCTGATAAGATAAAGGTTCTTTTCCACCAAAATGGTATATTGTAATGGTATATATAGTGACTGCCTGGAGAATTAATGGGGGCTTTAACCATGAGATAAATTTAGCTTCTGTGACACTTTTGTAGTCTGTTACTGTCTGGCTTGAAAAAAAATCTTTTTACACCCCTCTATTATGCACAGTCAGGCTTTACAGCTTTTCTTGGAAAGTGTCAGTTGCAGGCAGACAACGGTTGGAAAAGCAGTGGCTGAATTTCTGGGAGTTAGCTTACTGGCTTATCTGAATGGTTCTCTCCTCTCATTCCTTCCCTTCCCGCCCTTTCCCCTTTTTGTGTGTTTTCTGTTTTGTTTCTTTTTTTTTTTTGCCCTCCTTTTTTTTTTTTTCTCTTTTTTTTTTATCTCCTCCAGCTTCTTGGGCATTTAATGATTGTTGGCAAGAAGTGTGCTGCTAACCTGGGCCTGACCAATGGATTCCGGATGGTTGTGAATGAAGGGCCTGAGGGTGGGCAGTCTGTCTATCATGTACATCTCCATATTCTGGGTGGTCGTCAGTTGGGCTGGCCTCCTGGCTAAGATTACATCACAAGAGTTAACTGCATGCTGCAGATTACCACCAAGTAGATTTAACAATGTTGCTCATCAATCTAGCCACTGTTTATGTATTTTTTTTTTCAGTGTATGTCATCCAAGGGTAATAAATGCTCTGAATAAACATTCAAATAACAAGAATTCGCACAATAAAGATTAAGCATGGGAGAATCATCTCTGTGTGGTGTTCCTTACTGACAGAAACAATTCTGTAAGTTAAAATGGTGTTCACCGAAGTTTAAGTATGTGGCGTGCTTCAGTCAGTTGTTTACAGTTTTCTGTAGATAGTGAGTTTTTAAGGCATTTGAAACCTTAGGTTGCAGCTGCTTAGCAGCCTCATGTCTTTTGGGAAGAAAATTCCTAAGCTTTTTGAATGTGGTATGTAAATATTCCTAAAGCCAGTGTAGGCTGCTGCTAAAACTTTTTCTGGGGAAAAAAAAAAAGGGCTGTGTCAGTACGGTGCAATGTGCTGGAAACACACAGCTGCTACTGGAGCACTCTGTCAGTGGTCTTTGTGATGAGAAGGGGTAAAACCATAGTGTTAATGGCAGCTGCGATGGTTCTGTAGCACAGTGGTGTTTACTTCTACATCATTATTTTGATGGAACTGAGGACGTGAAAATATTGAACTGTGGTGTTGAGCCTTGTAAGATGCTAAAGGCATTTCATCTTGGCACATAAGCATGATGTACTATGCATACATTTTAAATTCCACATTTTATTGGAATAAATTTTATTGTTATTTGTCCTTCAGTGAATGTTGCTGCATACAGTTGTTCATGCAACACTGTCATCACATCTCCAGTGAATTTCCTGAAGTTGGGTTTACATATGTGTCTGCCAGTGTAGACATAAAATATAACTCTTTCTGTTAAAACTGAGTAGTCCCAGTTTTCATAACGGAAGATACTTGGAAGCCTTTAGGCAGATGCCTTACGAAAAATGGGGTATTTGTGAGTACCATATTTGCTAGAGAAAGAAATGTTTCAATTTCTATTCAGATAAAAAATTGGTAAAGGCATTTGAATTCATTCAGCTGGAATGTTCGGAAGTACTGTGATTACATCTGAAGGTTCTAAACCTTCAGATTTTTTTCTCTAAGACAGGACTTGGAACTGGAAAATCAGCTAGCGCTTCTGAAGGTGACTGGTCTATAGTTGGGTTAGGAATATAGAAGTGGTCCTCTAGTGGTAGCCTGTCAGCTGTTCTCCTGGGTATCCTGCACAGATGTGAAGAAGAAAACCACCCAACCCCCAGAGGTTCATCACTCCTGAGCAGACAGAATGTGTATCACATGAATGAGGTGTCAACAGCAGATGCTTTATATCAAAATCGGCATTTCTGAGTTAAAACATGACTGGTGAAGGTAATTGCATCACAGCTGAACCCTGTATGAAGGTAACCCAGTAAAGCTTTTGTTGCTTTATTTGGAATTTGGCTGAGGTACGTGTTTCAGGAATGTAAAAAGGCTTTCAGGTGAGGGCAGAACCATGGAACTGTTCCAAGAATAGGCCTCAGGCAAGCTTGGTAACTAGTTTTGTGTGCTTTGATTTCACCTGGGTATATTCTGCAGTACCTTGAAAATCAAAGACATACTCCAGTGGTGAGTAGTACTGAGCTTAAGACAGCTGTCAGGCAATGGTAAACCAAATGTGGAAATCGGAGAATTGGGTATTAGTTGTCCTCTTCCGGCTTTCAAAAGCATCTGTCAGATTTTCTGCTAAAAGGCAGACTTTGTCCTCCCTGTCACCAGTTTCATTCTGCTTGAGTTGCAGTCTCTTACTTCTGTGGCAAGGTCATTGGCTGTGGTACAGCTGCTCTGTCCTGTAAGGTCAGTTAGAAAGTGAGGTATGTTAGGAGGGAGGCAGCAAATGTCATCGGCTCGGGGAAGTGGACATGAGAAAGTCATTACTGGTGATTTTGAGACACCCACGGAAGATATCTTGGTCTCTTTTATTTCCTCAAGTAATGTAGTTAGATGACAAAAGCCTGTAAGAAACCCAAGGACTTCACCTTTAGCTAATCTTCATAGGCAGAAGGTGAAAATGCTTCACCTGAAGTAGATAGAAGCTGATGTATGGTCTGAAATTGAATTGCTGTAGTGCTGGTGTTCACTTAACTGAATGATTGAGATAGACAGCATCTATTGTTACGTCTCTGTAAGCTCCCTGAAGTATCTGGAAGGTGTTCCTGCTTTTCAGAGGCAGGGAAGAAGTGGGGAGTGTGTTGTGGAGCATTATGGGAAATTTTGAAGAAACTGTAGGCCTTGCGTATTCAGGAAGGCTGGATTATGAAGTTTTAGTGTTCTCTGGTGGAATTTGTGTCTCGTTTTTCAGATAATACCACTGTTATGTTCCAAATCAGAGACAGCAAATGGGTATTAAGTAATAATCCACTGAAAAAGCTTGGTATGGAAAATTACTGGTAGACAAGGCTTACGGATCACATTTATTTATTGCATTTTAAGGGTAAAACCCCCAGTAATCAAGACGGATGTATGCTGCAGTATTTTAGTTTGGATCAGAACTGGAAATAGACATTTGGTCTGTGTGTCCAAACAAGAGCTAGACAAAATGCCAAAAAATGAAAATGCTGAAATGTATGTAGTATGGGTATAGATTCTCACATTAGCTTTCTTTACAGATTGACTCTTCCTGATTTGTTCTGCATGCTAATGTAATATTTCTAGTAAAGGGGACATCCATGGGGATGGTGATAGAGGTATGAAAAACAGGCAGAGCCTACTGACACACAGAGGAATGGAACTCAGATGATCATGAAGTGAGAAGAGGGATTCGAGTTTTATGAGGGGATTGCACAGAGAAGGTGAGCTTTGAAAATATTTTATTGCCTTCAGGACAGTTGAAAAATGCAGAGTGCACTGACCACTTTAAAGGATGTGTCTCCAGCTTACAGAGCAACACAGAATACCTGAGCATTCAAGAGAGTGAAATGTCAAGTTTAATATTTTTGTCCAGCTTGACGTAATGGTTACACTAATGGGCTTGGATTTGTTAAAACCCTCTGTGCGTTGGGCTTTTGTTTATTATCTGGCACGTTACTTAAGAATTAAAACTAAGCAAAAAGGTTGCTGGCTTCAGGAATAAATGACAGGGATGCATTTAAAAGAGCCATGAAAGACTTTGAAGGGTTGACTACCTCTGGGTTGCAGTGAAGCTACAAGAGAGTTCCCTTTTCTGTAAAATCTGTGACTGTACTTAGACTGTTCTGGTTCTGGGGCTTAAAGTTACACAGAGACCTGACTAACCCTCTGGTAAGTGTCCGAGAGAGAACTAAGCAACACGTGACATTACTGTCAGTTTTTATAATGTCAGTCATTGAGTTTCAGCCGAAGTTCTCATGGGTATGAAATTACGTATCCTTTCAGCCATTGATCTGTCCGTACTTTCTGAGTCAAGCTGACCATGTGTACCCATGTAGTTCTTGAAAACCTTCTGACAGTAAGTCTTGCAGATTTGGACAGTCCATCCTGACTTAGGCTACAGCTGTCTTACTTTCTGTTGTTTTTTTTGTTTGTTTGGTTTGGTTTTTTTCTTTTTTTTTTCGCCTTTTGTGTTGAAACTCATTTCTATGGACCAGCTTGAATTTCTCTCAAGAGCTGGGTTAATCTTTTTTCTGATTATGGCTGTATTTGCTATGGATTTAAACACAGAGTTCTCTCTTCATTCTATTTCTTTTCTGTTGATTGGAGAAGAAGAGCAACCATGGCAACAGCTTCCATTAGTTTTTAACAGACAGAAGGGAATGTCTCTATTAAACTTAGCAGGATGCAATCTTGGTTTATTGTTATTTCCAGTTACAAATTTCTGTCCTTTTGTCAAACTGTAATAGTGTACTCCAGCCAATTAATAACTGATTGTGAAGAAACTGGGAAAAATCAAAACCTAGGCCAATATTGTTCTACAGAGCTGTCCATCAGGGGAGACAGCGAGGTTGATGCACTGTACCAGTCATTAAGGAGTTGAAAAGGAGGTATGGGCTTTATTTCACTCTTAACATGCGTACATGCTACGCTTGGTCTAGTTACAAGGATGCCAGGTAGAAAAAACCCACGGACCTATGCATCTTCTGCATAGAAGAGGGAGGGGAGGGGATGCTTTAAGGGGATGCTGTGGTTTAAGCCCAGCCGGCAACCCAGAACCATGCAGCCGCTCGCTTGCTCCCCACCCTTCCCCCTCTCCTGGAGGGATGGGGAGGAGAATCAAAAGAGTGTAACTCCCACAGGCTGAAGTAAGATCAGTTTAGTAACTAAGGTATAACACAAACCACTACCGCTACCACTAATAACAATAATGATAAGGGAAATAACAAGGGAACAGAATACTACTGCTCACCACTCGCTGACAGATACCCAGCACGACCCAAGCAGTGATCTCTTCTAGGTAACTGCCCCCAGTTTATATAGTGGGCATGACGTGCTGTGGTATGGAATACCTTTTTGGTTAGTTTGGATCAGGTGTCTTGTCTCTGCTTCCTCCCGGCTTCCCCTCCTCCCTGGCAGAGTATGAGACTCAGAAAGTCCTTGGTCAGAGTAAACATCCCTGAGCAGCAGCTAAAAACATCGGTGTTATCAGCGTTGTTCCCAGGCTGAAAGTCAAAACCACAGCACTGCACCAGCTACTAAGAAGGAGAAAACTGACTGCTGCTGCTGAACCTAGGACAGTATCTACCCCTTATTCCATAGCATTCACATCATGCTCAGATCTCACATCTCTCAATATACCATCACTCATATATGTATACATCCACACAGACACACACAGAGATCATTCCTTAGTGCATGGACCAGTCGCTATAAAGCTGCTGGGTTCATCCGGTCCATGATGTTGGGCTCCATCTCTTGGTACAGTCTTTCAGAGCAGGAGAGGCTGTGTGCAGTGTTGGGTTGTTGTGTGCTGATGATACCACAGAACTTGTCTGGTTTCATCAATGTTCATTCTTTGTTGGGAGGATGGTTGGAGGGAAGTCTGGGCCAGTCTCTAGTGACCTGAAGACATCTAGTTAGTGGGCTGTAAAAGTGCTATATAGAAGGCAACAGCATACAATTGAGTTCATTGTTAAGTCCACCCCTCAATCATGAGCCCATCTATATGTTGCATCTCTGCTCTGATGGCCTGAAGTGTCATGGGCCCACCAGGCCAAAAATAATTCACCCTTATATTGCCAATCTACGTCCATCTGAGCCACTTCAGTCTTAGCAGCTTTATCCAGTTGTTGGTTGTTCTGGTGCTCCTCAGTGGCCTGATGCTTGGGTGCATAAGCATCTACATGTTTAACATCTTCGTCACTGACATGGACAGTGGGATTGAGTGCGCTCTCAGCAAGTTTGCCGATGACACCAAGCTGTGTGGTTCAGTTGATACGCTGGAGGGAAGGAATGCCATCCAGAGGGACCTCGACATGCTTGTGAGGTGGGCTGATGCCAACCGCATGTAGTTTAACCATGCCAAGTGCAAGGTCCTACACCTGGGTCGGAGCAATCCCAGGCACAGATACAGGTTGGGCCAAGAAGAGATTCAGATGCAGAAAAGGACTTGGGGATGCTGCTTGATGAGAAAATGAGCATGAGCTGGTTTCAGTGTGCACTTGCAGCCCGGAAAGCCAACCGTATCCTGGTCTGCATCAAAACGAGTGACCAGCAGGTCGAAGGAGGTGATCCTGCCCCTCTACTCTTTCCAACCCTAACTATTCTATGATTCTATGATACATGGCGTACCTTCACTACCACGTTCTGCATCTGGGCAGCAATATCTTGCCACAGTGCAGCAGCCTAGATGGATTCACCTCTGCGTTGCCACTTGCCCTGCTTCCATTGCTGCATCCACCCCCACAGTGCATTTGCCACCATCCGTGGGTCAGTATGAAGTACTGGCCACTTTTCTCATTCAGCAATGTCCAAGACCAGCTGGATGGCTTTCACCTTGGCAAACTGACTTGATTTACTGTCTCCTTGAGCAGATTCTGCGACTTATTGTCAGGGACTCCATACAGCTTCCTTCCATCTCTGACACTCCCAAAGCACTGGAGGGGCCCACTGCCTTAGATACTTGCTCATACTCTCCCACACACCCTGCCACTCATGGCTGTCCAGCCTTGGGGAAAATCTTGGTGCTCCTCTAGTGTGTGTGATCCTAGACAAGACTCAAACTGGACCCTGCTTAGCTTCCACAACAGGACAAGATCGGGCATTCTCAGGGTGGTGTGACTGCAAGCAAAACATAGCATATGCAGCAACAAGGTGGTTCCCAGCAAGAGGAGCAGCAGGTTTTCAAGGGCATTGAAAGGATACTCAGGATCTTTAAATCTTCCAGAATCTAGTCCCACTGTAAGTAGTCTGGTGGTGGAGCAGAGGGCGTGAGAAGACAGCTCCTTCATAGGCTGACCGCCCAAGGAGGGGAAAAAAAGATGTGTAATTGTTAAACACTTCTATTATATACCTCCCAAAGTATAGAGGTGATGACCACACTGGGAGCACATACCAGCCCAGATTCATGATCTATTGTATTACAAGTCATTGCCATGAAGTACAGTGGAACAAGAAACTTAGCCTAGGCCCCCCAGCCAATAAACTCTAAACCAGCAAATACTGGCTGTAAGTAAGGTATGACATGCTGAAACTCCAAGATCAAGAGCAACAACTTTGAGAGCCAATAAATCAGCATTGTGATGAATGACTCTTAATCTGAAACAATGAATGCTTATCACAAATACGATTAGACACACTCCAGTCAGATCTGTCATTATCTCAACCCTTCGTGCCCCACATTGGGGGCCATAAAGAGCTGTCATGGTTTAAATCCAGCCGGCAACCCAGAACCATACAGCCACTCATTCACTCACCCCCCCTTCCTCCCCCTGCTCCCAGAGGGATGGGGAGGAGAATCGAAAGCATGTAACTCCCACGAGTTGAGATAAGAACAGTCCAGTAACTAAGGTATAACACAGATCACTACTGCTGCCACCAATAATAATAATGATAAGGGAAATAACAAGGGAAGAGAATACAACACCTCACCACCCACCGACCGATACCCAGCACGACCCAAGCAGTGATCTCACCCTTCCGGCTAACTGCCCCCAGTTTATATAGTGGGCATGGCATGCTGTGGTATGGAATACCTTTTTGATTAGTTTGGGTCAGGTGTCCTGTCTCTGCTTCCTCCTGGCTTCCCGTCCTCCCTGGCAGAGCATGAGACTCAGAAAGTCCTTGGTCAGAGTAAACATCCCTGAGCAGCAGCTAAAAACACTGGTGTTATCAGCGTTGTTCCCAGGCTGAAAGTCAAAACCACAGCACTGCACCAGCTACTAAGAAGGAGAAAACTGACTGCTACTGCTGAACTAAGGACAGGGGAGGTCACTGCTTTAGTGACTGGGGTAGCAACGTGACTCGTTGGAGACAGGAAACTAGGAAATATCTTTGAGGGGGAAGCTTCAAGATGGCAAATGGTTTTTGTTTTGTTGTTGGGTGCTTTTTGTTTGTTTTTGTTTTCTTTTTTGTTGTGTTTTTTTTGTTGTTTTTGTTTTTGTTTTTTTTCTTTGTTTGTTTTGTTTTGTTTTGTTTTTCCCCTGGAAAACAGAAGGATCTTGAGAGAAAAAGCATCTAAAGGTTCCAGAAGAAAGAGGTTACCTCTTCTCAACTTGTGGTAAAAGTAAAAAAAGAACTGCCAGTCCTGCAAGTTAAGGTTAAAAAAACGTAAGTGTCAGCCTGTTCTGTGGGTTGGAAACCCAGGAGCAGCTATAAAGCTGTTACTGAGTAGATGTGAGATTATTTAGCTTGACCTTGCTAAACTTGGTCAAAACACAGTCTTACAGGAGACAATGCCCTGAGGATGTGAAGGGTAAACGGACAAGTGGGGCTAGAGCTGCAGTTACTAGCACCCTCAGGATTTGTACTGTTAATTTGGCTGAAGGTGAAGTCTCACTCAGTCTTTCATAACAGATTTCAGTACCAGAGAAGACTCACAGCTGAGAATAACTATACTGCAAAACAATCAGGTATATTTATTTTGTTGTTGTGGTAGCTGTGCTTCTGTCATATTTGTGAATGTAAAAATTCTGTTACTGTGCAGAAGATAACAAATGTTCTAGAAACTTGATTAAACATGTAATAGTGTGTGTTGTTTGAAAGGTGAAAACTACATGTGGAAAAGCCCTGCTACTATCTCATAGTGGGGAGGAGGGTGTTCTGCCATGCTTGTGGCTTATATTTTGTTTAAAACTCTCAGGGGCCTTGGAGTTATCATAATGGAAAACAGGAACAATTCTGTCAATTAATTCATAAAATATACACCTGTGCTGCAGGTATGATTTTTTTTTTTTCTCCTCCAAAAGTCTCTCTAAATGCTGATTTACATAAGCAAGGACCTATGATCCGTGTTTGAGACCACAGCAACTAGCACTTACTGAAGCAGCTGATTGGAGCCATAGTGTTTTAGTCTCTTACAAGGTCATTTACCCTGCAGAGTTTAGATAATGCTATTTATCCCTGTGCCTCTGTTTTATTGGTATAGTAAGATCTAGACTACAGTCTGTGTGGTGTGGGTGGAATAACGATTCCAGGAGCTTCATTTCAGGAGGGAAATGTCCATGGGGAAAGTAAAGGGAGAGGTGAGTTGAAACACCAGTGTAAACTGGATGTGGTGATTGGATGGGGTGATGCTGCAGTGAGAATTTGTGCCTGTTTATGTTGTGTTAGGGCACGAAGGAGGATATTCTCATGAAGGGTTTCTTCTGCTTTCTCATGTGGCAGTGGTGTTCTCTCTGGGTGCTTTGCTTGGTGCATGGGTGTAGAAATCTGGAGGTGAAGTTGTGTAGCTACAGAGAGTTGTTGCTCCTCTTTGATTCATTTCTGTGCTAGGAGTCTGGCTCTGTCAAATAACCGGTGCAAGGCAAGGGAGGCTCAGTGCCTAGATTTGAATCAGAGCTCATCTACCTGTCTGTAACAGTTCTATACCCTTGCACAGAGGGGAGGTTCCAGTGAGCTGTGGTGACAAATCTAAAATCACAGGATTTACATAGGTCTTTACTTCTGTAGGCTGTTGATTGGAATGAATTCAATGATAAAGCTGCAAATTACACTGCTTCTTATTGATTGTGTTTGTTCTTTATTCTTTGCAATAATTTCTGCAAAAGAATTTAACTTGATTTAATTTTTAGTCCAGAAACTTTGCCCCATAAATTACATCTGGATCTCAGCTTAGTGAGAGCACACATGGTTTTATGGTTGATGGAACTAATCACCTTGTTGCTGCCTTTTTTGTAGCTAGAAAAAATTAATTTGATTTTTAATATTTGTGTCTCTCTTACCATTTCAGAGCTCAGCAATGTCCACAAAATTGCTTCCGCTTTTATTCACAGCAGAGCAAACAGCATGAGTTTGCTTTTCCAGCTGTGACATACAGACATTCAAGTGTTGAATCAAAAGATATGAAGTAAGTGGGAAGCATGGTTCACTTTTTGCTCTAAGACACCTCTCTGGATTGTGTTTTGGTCTCCCTGGAGACTGCAGTTATCAGTAAGTCATAAGCTAGCCTAAGGCCTCATGTGTTATTTCTGCTCAAACAAATGAAATTCCAGCTTCACAGCCAAACAAGATGCATTATGACTGTAGTCCAGTGGTTAGGGCACTTATTTATAGCCAGTGAAGCTTACTTAGAGGATCGTGGGAAACACTGTCATTCTGGTCCCAGAAGAGATGTTGAGTACCAGCATGAAGGTCAGGCTGATGTATCCATTTTGCAGAGGAAGCTGGGAACAGCAGGAGGGTAGAATAACATTCATGTGATTTAAACTCAAGTCCTCTGTCCCATAGTAAAGGCATATGGCATGTGATATGCTGTCTACTTTAAGTGCAAAATACAGGATGCACGGGTAATAATAATTTTCCTTCAGACAGTTTTAATTAAAATAATTAAAACAAAGTTCTGACTGCATTCTGTGTGTCCTGATCTTGTTGGTGGGGTTGTGTGTGTGGTGTCTGTGTGTGTACATGTGTGTGTAAGGTATGCTGGGCTTACCACACTCACCCTCTTTGACGTAACACAGGTAAACACAGAAGTTTCTGGAGATAACCAGGTAAAACTAATGGATTCCTTGCACATTTAAGCACTTCTGGGCAAGGGTGTTGTTCTGTCTGGGCTTTTTGGACATCAGAAGAATGTACTGTCTATTGCAGAGAAATGAAATGTGTTTATGAAACTGAGACCTACACATGGGTACATTTATCCTTCTAAGAGGTTGTGGTTTAGACTGCACTTCTTCATCAGTATGTTAAGAAAATGATTTCCTGAGTTCATCCTATGTATTATTGCAGGAAAAGAGGAAGTGTGCAGCAGAACAATTACCCTCATCTTCAGAAGAATGGACTTCAGCTTCTTGAGTGAGCTTATAGATGAGGTCTCATGAGAGGCAGCTGTGGAGAGTAGAAGGGCTCAAGACAGCTTTTTGATACCAAGAATAGTCACCTTCAGGCATTGGAACTGCATATTCTGAAGTTCACAGACAGAGGGGATGTGCAGGATGTCCATGTAGTTGAATGCCTGAACTCAAGAGCAGAAGACACTTGTACATAGTGTACAATTTGGGAATATGCTACGTGAAAGAAATAAACATTGGCTCAGATGGAGTACAAGAGCCAAGTCAGCTGGAACTGAAATTTGTGGTGAATGAGAAGGGCAATGAGAAGGGCTGTTTCTGTTGCCTAAGCAGCAAAGAGTGGACTAAGGAACATGCTGATCTGCTGAAGAATGGGATGGTGGGCCTAGTGACAAAGGAATTAGATGAGGCTGAGTTAACTCAACAGCTTTTTATGCTCACTCTTTACTGGCATGGTCTGCTGCCAGACGTCCTTGATCTGTGCCTAGAGGCCATGTTGGGGCCATGGTAAAGGAAGATTGAGTTAGGAACATCTAAGCAATCTAGACATACACAGGAGTTCATGGGACTGAGTGGGATGCATCCAGTGCTGTTGAGGGAACTAGTCGATGTCATTGTGAAGCCTCTATGATATTCAAAAAGGCATGATGGCTGGTTCAAGTGTATTGTAGTTGGAAGAAGGTAAGTGTCACAGCTAACATGAAGAAAGATAAGGTGTGTTTGGGGAAATTCAGGCTATGCAGCCTAATCAAAGTTCCCAGAAGATCATGGAGCTGGTGTCCTGGAAGTGTTCCCAGGCACATCAAAGAGAATTTGTTTGGGAACAGCAAGCACCGATTTATCTGGGCAGGTTGTGCCTGAGCAGCCTGATTGCCTTATACAATGATGTGAGTAGCAGCGTCATAATGAGGAGACCAAAACTTTTGACACAGTCTCTTTGTATCCAGGGTGGAGAAACGTGCCCTGGATTGGCCAATTATCAGGTGAGTGGAAAAGTGTCTGGACAAACCGCCTCAAAGAGTAGGCATTGTTGGTTAGTCATGGCATTCCTCAGGGGTTTATATTAGGGATGCTAACATTTAATGCCTTCATCAGTCAGCTAGAAAATGGGATGGAATACACTCTTAGGATGCTCACAAATGACACCAAATTGGGGAGGGGAACGACTGGTAAGATGGAGGTCAGGACTGATATTCAGAGGGACCTAAATAGGTTGGAGAAGTGGACTGATGGGGACCTACACTTGGAAGGAACCAGCTTCATGCAACAGGTGCACTGGAGATTGACTGTATAGAAGGCTGCCATGCAAAGCAGGATCTGGGAATTTTGGTGGACAGGTGGAAGAAAAATTGGCAGTATATCTTTGCAGCAGTGAAGGCTAAGCCCATCCTGGGAAGTATTAGCAGCAGCTTCATTTGAGGAATTCATTAATCCTCTGAATTCAGCACTTGTGAGGTGATATCTGGAGTGGTGTATGCAGTTTTGTACTCACCAGTACAAGGGAGATGCAGTCATAGAATAGTTTGGGTTGGAAGGGACCTTCAAAAGTCATTTAGTCCAACCTCCCTGCAATGATCAGGGACATCTTCAACTAGATCAGGTTGCCCAGAACCACATCCAGCCAGGCCTTGAATGTCTTCGGTGGGTGCATCCACCACTTCTTGGGGCAACATGTGACAGTGTTTTACCACCCTCTTTGTAAAGAATCTTTTCCTTATGTTCAGCCTGAATCTCCCCTGTTTTAGTTTAAAACTACCCGTCATCCTATTGCAACAGGCCCTGCTGAAAAGTCTCTCCCTATCTTTCTTATAGGCCCCTTTTAAGAACTGAAAGGCTGCAATGAGGTTTCCCTAGAGCCTTGCCTTCTCTGGGCTGAACAATCCCAGCTCTATCAGCTCTTCCTTATAGAAGAGACGCTTTAGCCCTCTGATAATTTTTGTGGTATACTGGAGAGTCTAGTGGTAGGCCACTGAGATGGAGGCTGGAGCCTCCATCTGGAGCCATGACACAGAGAGAGAGTCTGAGACACTTGTGTTGTTTTGTCTTGAAGAAGGGATAGCTTGGAGAGGGGGCTTTCCAGTTTCTGTTTTCAGTCCTCTAATGGGTGGTCATAGAGAAGACAGGCTCCTGTATGTGCAGACAGAAAGAGTGAGAAGGAGTGGGCTTATGTTGCACCAGAAGACCTTCTGAGCTGATGTTAGGAAATTCTTCATGGTGAGGAAGGTTTAATGCTGGACCAGGTTGTTCACAGAGGCTGTGGCGTCTTCATCCTTGGAGATAGTCGAAGCTTGACAAGGTTCTGAGCAATGTGGATCCGACTTCAAAGTTGGCTCTTGTCTGAGCAGGAAAGTGGACTAGACAACCTCCAAAGGTCCCTTCGAACATTATTTTGTGGTTCCATTAACAGCACCATAAATGTTTTCAAAGAAGAGTCAAAGTCAACTGATGGAAACAAGAAAGCCACAAGGCAAAAAAGCAAAAAGCCAAAATTGCAGAACTGAAATAGAAAGCATGTGAGAGAGAAGAGACAGGTGTGTTTGAAATCTTGTAATTTTGAAAGTATAAATTTGCATCTGTAAGACTATAGGCTTGTATATCGTTTATGACACATCTTACTCCTTTTGTTTTGAGGGTAGGAGAAATGCCATATTAAGCTCCTAATTGTTAGCCACAATTAATTAGAAATCCATGTCTGGAAACTGTTAATCAGAATGTGGAATTTGTTTCTTTCAAACACTAAGGGAAAGAAATGGAACAAAAGAGAATCGGAGCTGTTACAAACAGACTGAAGTTCTCTGTCTTGAAAAATGCATGATTGATTTTGCTTTACAGAACATAGATGGCAAGAGAAGTGTGGATAGTGTCTCCTGCCACCTTTTCATCCACTGTTGGACTACAGCTGTCCTGGGATGCCAGTCAACCACTGTTAATCTCCTGGGAAGTCAGACAATAGTGCAATTTTCAGCCTTGTTAACCTGGAAGTGAGGTCACTAGTATTTTCTCAGTTGATAACACCTTGATATGTGAAACTATGCTGATACTGATAATATTGATGGGCTCAGATAATTAGTGAGGGTGACTGAAAAAGCAAAAAACGAAACCCAAAATGGTGCAACTCATAGTCTACATAAAATTTTCATTTTATAAGGTATTTTGGAAGTTGTGTGATTTGGTGCCCATCTTGGATGCTTGCTTGTTTTAAAATGCCTTCATAAAATGTACATGTGTTACTTTACATTTTTCAAATGTAAAGCAGAATGTAATGTGTATGAGTTCTTGTTTGCCTTTATACAGTAGTGTCTGGACTTCTGACTGCTGCACAGCAATCCCAGCTGACTGCTGTTTGGATAGCAATTGGCCAGTTCTGTGCTGCCTGCCAGATTGCCTGCATTGAAGAGAACCTCAACATGACTGCTACTAAGTTGGGTCAAAAATTCTGGCTGACAAGAGAAGCAGATGTTGAAAGAAAAGCTTTTAGTCAGATTTCTGTCTTTGAATTTTAAAATGTTCTGCCTGGCATTCTTGGTTTGGGTTTTTTTGTTGTTTTAATTTTTCTTCCCAGCCCCTGTTGTTTTATTTAGCTGCATAGATTTCAATATTATGGCTTATCAAAATGGTATTTTTTTTTTATTGGAAGAAATGATGAGGGGATGGCTACATGTAGTTAGATGCACCATCCCTGGAGACATTCAAGGCCAGGCTGGATGTGGTTCTGAGCAACCTGATCTAGTTGAAGATGTCCCTGCTCATTGCAGGGGGGTTGGACTAGATGACATTTGAAGATCCTTTCCAACTCAAACTATTCTATGATTCTTTGTGGTTAAAAGGGTAGATTCTTATGTAGTTTTGCAATTCTTTGGTATGAAGTTTATAAAATATATATGATGAAGTGTCAGTACACAGATCAATTTGATGTTGTATTAATGATAAGCTGTCTGGGGGTGGTTACAGCCAAACAAAAAGCTGTGCTTACTGGTACTGGAGTTGGAAACTCCAACACCCAAACTTCAGATTAAATCTTAATCTTTTTTTCTTCTGGTATCTAGAACACTTAGAAAAGCTAGCTGCTGTTTTGCTTATGTTTAGGAAAAAGTGGAAACAAAGGTGTACAGGTGATGTAAATATACTTGCCAGTATTGTAAATTGTGCTGCAAAAATTTG